CCTCACTCCCCCCCACCCCGTGACGGCAGAGCGGCGTGGGAACGTTACCCTTAATGGGGCAAGAAACAAAGCAGCTCTGCCAAAGAACCTGCAGCAGCGGATTGCCCAGTATCTCCTTGAGAGTTTCGTGGAGATCTCAGATTCCCGCGAAGTGAGGGAGTCAATCAACACCCTGTTCCGCCGCTCAGACTAGGCATGTGGTGGTACGCGCATCATACAGACACAAGCCTACTTTCTGCAACCCTCCTGCCCCCAACAACTTGCTTCAGCAATTCCCAAAATCAAAGCCACTTACCAGGAGCCTCCTCTCCTGTTTGCGCTTCGCCAAGCTCTGACAGCTGTGACTGGCTAGCCTCCTCCAGGATAGAGAAGAGCTCCTGGCTGCATGCATCTCTGACCTCCGAGTCTTCCTCTGCCTCTGGGTCCCCCTCCCACTCCTCATCGTCATCCAAGATTTCCTCCTCCTGGCTTGATCCACTCTTGACTGATAAGTGAGCCATGGAAGTAGCTACAGTGGCCTTTGCATTGGAGGTGGGGTTGCCATTGAGTATCGCATCCAGCACTTTGTAGAACCGGCAGCTCATGGGCACAGCACCAGAGCGGCTGTTTGCCTCCTGTGCCTTGTGGTAGGCGTTCCGCAGCTCCTTCACTTTGACCCTGCACTGCAGTGTGTCCCTGTCATGGCCCCTTTTTGTCATACATTATGAAATCTGACCATAGCTATCATAATTCCTGGAGTGCAGCTGGAACTGAACAGCCTCCTTTCCCCAAATGCTGATGAGGTCCAGCACCTCGGAATTGTTCCAAGCAGGGGATCGCCTGGTGCGTGGAGCAGGCATGGTCACCTGGAAAGATGCGCTGGGACCACCGCACACAAGAAAACAGGAAGGGGACTGTAGTGGGGCGGTTACCCCGCTCCAGCCCCAAGGGGTTAGAACAGCCCTGGGAAAGGGCTGCTCCGGGGAGCCAATAGGGTAGGCTGATTGGGGAAGCAGACACAGCTGGGGCCATGCCCCAATCAGGCCACAGCTGGGCCTATAAACAGGGCCGGTTTTAGGTTGATTCCCCCAATTCCCGGAATCGGGCCCTGCGCCTAAGAGGGTCCCGTGCCTAAGGCGCCTTTTTAATTTTTTTTATTCACCCGGCGGCGGTCCGGGACTTCGGTGGCAGGTCCTTCACTTGCTCCGGGTCTTTGGCAGCATTTCGGTGGCGGGAGGTCTTTCAGTGCCGCGGAAGACCCGGAGCGAGTGAAGGACCTGCCGAAGACCCGGACCGCTGCCGGGTATTCGAATCTGGCCCCACAGTTCCTAAAGTCAGCCCTGCCTATAAAAGGGCTGTGAGTCAGAGGTTGAAAAAGAGTCTCTCGCTCTTGTTAGAGAGAGAAGAACCGGGCTGCCTGGGAGAAAAGGGTACCTGGAGTGGAGCAGGGCTGGGGGAAGGCCAGAGGAGTTGGGGAGCTCCAGCCTGGCAACTCCCCAGGTTGAGGCCTTGCTGAAGGCCCAAAGCAGGTACGGGGGTTGCAGAGGTGCAGCCCAGGGTAGGCAAAGGCAGCAGGTCCAACCCCCCCCTTGCCGATGATGAGTGGTTTATAGACTGCAGTCTGCCCTAGTGAGTGGGGGTCTAAATGGAGACTGGCAGTAGCCCCTGAGACAAGGTGGGATAGAGGGTTGGGGGTTCCCCTGGGAGAGGTGACTCAGAGACTGTGGGGTTACTGCAGAGGGCAGAACCCCAAGGGAAGGGGCACGGGGGTCCGGGAGGGACATGGGGGCCAACGGCAAGCGGGACATCAGCCAACAGACGGTGCTTCAGAGCTGGAGAGCTAATTCCCAGGAAGACCAGCAGGAGGCGCCGAACTGGTGAGTCTTCGCATCGCTACAGGGACTTTCAAAATTCCCAAGGAATTTAAGGGGCAGGGCTCACGGTTGGTCACCTGAGGGCAGAGCAGTAGAGTCCAAACCGATGACCAGAGAGGCAAAAACAGGCATTGTGGGACACCTCCCGGAGGCCAATCACAGCGCTGTAATTGACCAGGGTATCTTCACTGGCACTGCAGCACTGTAGCCCCGGTGCAGAAAGCTCTACGCCACTCGTCGGGGTGGATTGTTACAATGCTGTAACTGTGCAGGTTCTGAACATGAAGTGGCGTGGCAGTGTGTAGACCTCAGGAGTTACACCACAGAAAGCTGCTTTACTGCGCAGAAACTTGCCAGTGTAGACAAGGTCGAAGGCATGTTTTCTAATCCTCTAATCATTCTTGTGGCTCTTCTCTGAAGCCTCTCCAATTTATCAACGGCCTTCTTGAATGGTGGGCACCAAAACTGGAGATAGTATTTCAGCAGCAGTTGCCAAATATAGAGATAAAATAACCTCCCTGCTCTTAATCAAGATTCCCCTGTTCATGCATCCCAGGGTCAAATTAGTTCTTTTGGCCACAGTGTAACACTGGGAGCTCATGTACAGCTGATTATCCACCATGACCCTCAAGTCTTTTTCAGAGTCACAAATCAGACCCATGAGGAAAGATTGAAAAAATTGGGTTTTTGTGTAGTCTGGAGAAGAGAAGACTGAGGGGGGACATGATAACAGTTTTAAAATACATAAAAGGTTGTTACAAGGAGGAGGGAGAAAAATTGTTCTTCTTAACCTGAGGATAGGACAAGAAGCAATGGGCTTAAATTGCAACAAGGGAGGTTTAGGTTGGACATTAGGAAAAACTTCCTAACTGTCAGGGTGGTTAAGCACTGGAATAAATTGCCTAGGGAGCAGCACCAGCGTAGGAAGCAGGTGCTTGGGGTGGCCAATTCAAAGGGGCGTCACTCCGTCTGGTATCGGGGCGGCACGTCCGGGTCTTCGGAGGCAATTCGGTGACAGGTCCCTCATTCCCTCTCTTCCTCTTTGAGCTGCCACCGAATTGCCACCGAAAGGGAAGAGAGGGAGGACCCACCGCCGAAGAAGCGGCGCGATTTAGCTGCCACCGAAGTGCTGCCGCTCTTCTTCTTCCTTTTTTTTTTTGCTGTTTGGAGCAGCAGAAAAGCTGGAGCTGGCCCTGCTAGGAAGGTTGTGGAATCTCCATCATTGGGGATTTTTAAGAGCAGGTTAGACAAACACCTGTCAGGGATGGGCTAGATAATATTTAGTCCTGACATGAGTGCAGGGGACTGGACTAGATGACCTCTCAAGGTCCCTTCCAGTACTGTGATTTTGTGATTTCCCCCCATCCTATAATCATGGCCTACCTTCTTTATTTCTAGAGGTATACATTCACACTTAGCCATATTAAAACACATATAGTTTCCTTGCCCCCAGTTTACCAAGCAATCCAAATGGCGCTGAATCAGTGACTTGACCTCTTCATTATTTATCACTCTCTCAATTTTTGTGTCACCTGCAAACTTTATTAGTGATGATTTTTTGTTTTCTTGTCTTAATAACATCCTGTAACAATGAGTTCCACAGTCTAATTCTGCATATTCATTTTCCTTTTAGATGAGGGATGAGTAAGGTCCTCTGATAAAACAGTCTAAGCCAACTCAGCAGAGATCAGGTCCTGCCAGAGGGCAAGCACCGGGTCTGACTAGGAGTTCTGGGCTATGGACTTTTCTTATGGTTTAAGTAGTCAGTTCTCCCTGAATCTACAACTAACCCATCATTGCGTGGCTGATTTCTTGTAGGTGGCAGAGCAGAAGTGGCTCTTGAGGAAGGATGTGGAGGTGAGGGTAGTTGGCCTGGGGCTTAATCTTTATTTACAAGGTGCCCTCAATCTAACTTAATTTTTGCCTCAGAAAAATTGTTCTATGAAAATAATACACAACTGCTACCTCATAAAATAGCAGGAGAGGGCAAAAATAAAATTGGTTTTGCAGTTCACCTCTAGTTGGGCAGTTGGGACTAGAGTCACATAGGGACTTAGCCAACTGCCTATTTAGATGCCACTGAAATTCACAAAATGCCTGCTCAGCTGCCAGGTAATGCTGAAGGCACCTAAATCCCCATAATCATCCAACTTTCCACCAGTGGGCAAATCTGCCTAATTCCTGGCACTGTCCCAGAGCTAACAAGCTGCTCCATGCCCTGTGCTCACGTCTAAGCCCTGCAGGATTCTCATGCCCCTTCCTATCACACTAGCAGGGCCTGCTGCAGCAGGTGTGCTCAGAGCACACCTAACTCACACACTCCCCAGCCAGGGGGCAGCAGCTTGGGAATTTCTGTGGCTGGCTGGCAGGCACATGCCATAGGCTACCCAAGAGCCTGGGATCTCCACTCTGCCTGATTTGGAGCAGGGACTTGACCCCAAGTCTTCCACATCCCTGGAGAGTGCCCTAGTCACCAAGCTATTGGGCAGTCTGGGGTGCAGCTTTTGCAGTCTCTCCTATTGAAGCCGTTCCCTTTGTATAAATAATGGGAACAGCTTCATCAGGCACTAGTGAGAGCTAGTATCCCAGAATGCCCAATAGCCTAGTGGTTCGGTCACTCCCCTACCCTGCAGGAGACCTGGGTTCAAATACCTGCATCAACTCAGGCAGAGCAGCAGCCCTCTCACAGCCCAGGTGAGTACCCTAACCACTGGGGGAGGCTCTCTAATTGGTTATGGAAAACAGCTGACCTGGCTAAGGTGCCTAACTCCAGGGGTGGTAGATAATAAAGGATATTTCTATCGCAAAGCTGTGGCTGCAGCAAACCCCCGTGAAAGACAGCCTGAAGCTTTGAACATGTTAGAGTCTCCTGTTGGTGGCCCCCTTACTTTGCTGCTGAGTTCAAGATTCAAAACAGTTCTGTGTCTGACTGTCTCGATCTGACACTGGTCAGGTCAGTAAGCTGCCCAGCACTTTTTCTTTCCACTTTACAACTAAGCAGCATGACAGCAATCGCTACAGCTGTTTTGCCTGGCAAAAACCCCAACACATTATATAATGTGATTTGATGTCAACATTTGTTATAATATTTTCCAGCTGGCTTACATAAAAGCATGAAATGAATATTTATTATTTACTTCCATGCAGAATTTCCTACAATCCCACAAGGTATCCCAAATACATTCCTGAAGCGTACTGTCTGTGCAAGGGCTGTCTCACTGGGATTTATGGCGAGGAGAATTTCCACTTCCGCAGCACCCCAGTGTACATGCCAACCGTCATCTTGCGCCGCACTTCAGCTTGTGCTGGGGGTCGCTACGTGTACACAGAGGATTACGTCACTATCCCTGTGGGGTGCACTTGTGTACCGGAGCAGGAAAAAGAGGCGGACAGTGTCAATTCCAGCATAGATAAGCAAGAAATGAAGTTGTTGGTAAACCAGAACGACAAGCCAGCATCTGAATGAGACCCATTCAAGGACCCCTGTGTACAACATTGGCTTCACGTTACTATTTCACTGACTCAGGAGATTATATAGCAATAGGGGGGGAAACAATTTTGTCTTTCTAACTACATCTGTTGCAGTTATAAGGCGAAGGCTGTGTTCAGTAGATTGTTACTCAGCCATGGCAGACAAGACACATCAAGTAAGAAGGATCTTTTCAAAGCTCAGCTTCTTTAAGTTTGTATTGTTTAGAGTTAAACGCAATTTTATTCTATCCTTGCTTATTTTGGATGAATTTTTAGAAGGTGCTATAACCGTGTAACATGCCAGCTACTTTCATAACAAACTACTGGTTGCAAATATTTTACAATAATTTTATATTCTGCCTTTTGGTAATTCTATGTAAAGTCATTTAACTACGGCACATGTCCCATGTTAGCAGTAGAAAGGAAGCCAGTAATTCTGATTGCTGGGGTCCTCCTGTTACATTGCAGACTGTAAAACTCCAAGTGATGTTCTTGGCTGCTACAACCATAGCTATTTAGAGTCTACAAAATGAGAAACCGTTGCCACCTAGTATCTTTCAACTGTGTTGACTTGCTAATGTCATTCATATAATACTCAATAAAAGGAGACACTCATACGAACATAAGAATGGCCATACTGGGCCAGACCAAAGGTCCATCTAGCTCAGTATCCTGTCTTCCGACAGTGGCCAATGCCAGGTGCCCTAGTGGGAATGAACAGAACAGGTAATCATCAAGTGATCAATCCCATCACTCATTCCCAGCTTCTGGCGAACAGAGGCTAGGGACACCATCCCTGTCCATCCTGGCTAATGGCCATTGATGGACCTATCCTCCATGAACTTATCTAGTTCTTTTTTGAACCCTGTTTTAATAAACTGAGTTAATAAACTCTCTTTATTATTGCTAAATTCTCCACTCTGCTACAAGTACAAAACCTGCTGATAAAACATTGACTAGAATGTTACAAAACTGAAATATTAATTTTTCTGATATGGTTTAAATCTTTCTAGTAGTAAAAGGACACAAATAGATGGACTCTGGGACACAAGTATTCTACATTATATCCCATTCTTTGTCAACCTCTTAATTGTTAGTCATGACAGCTGTATCCTGTAACATTGCAAGCCTTCTCATGTTGACAATAAATCCCACTAAGGGAAAGTCAATAGTAAAGAGAACTAATTAAATTCAGATATTTGTACAATGTGTGTTATTGTCTTTCCTGTGCATTATCAATAATTGGCTAACAACCCGTGAAAGATTTCTGATTATGTAGTTAGGGGCTCTGGAACAATTTGTATAGTGGGGTTGCTGAGAACCATTAAACCAAATTGTAAACCCTTTATATGATGGACACCACTTCAAGCCAGCACTCCGAGCACCCCTAGTTCCAGCATCTGTGTATGTAGCAGCATTTGGTCTTAAACCCCCAGCAGGCTACAGTCACTGGAGGGCAGTAAGATCTCATATTTTTGCAGAGGTCTGATGTTCTAGTTGGTGGACCTAACAGTGGTATCCATATGTTGTTTAGATTATACTGTAATTTCAGAATTTTACATACATATATTTCTTCACTAAGCATTGCCCTAAATTTTTCAGGATATAGAGCTTGTAGTTGTTGTTCTTGTGCTAAATTTCTTTATGAGATTGTTTCTTTTTTCACTGAGGCTGAAGATGATCCTTTAGGCTCAACCCTGTGTAAAATCATTTTCCACTTTTACAAAATTGCAAGAAAAGGTAGCATTTGATAACCACCCAAAAAAGGATATTCATCAGCTAAAGTGTAGGAGCTCATCAGCACTATATCCAAATCACGGGTTCTGAGACAATCTCCACCACAAGCATTCTTTTGTCCAGTCCTTGTTCGTGCACAGTATTTGGAATGCCTACCACTAATCAGATAGAAAAGGTGGGTGAGGTAGTATCTTTTATTGGCCAACTTTTGTCCAATCAATCATTATAGCATTAAACAATTACAATCCATAGTTGATGGGAGCCATATCCTGAAAGAAATCTTCCCTGAACCCCCTTTTCTGGCCTTCAAACAATCCCCCAACTTCATCAAGCTCATCATCAAAAGCAAGAAGGACAAACCAACTCAAAGTGTCACCAGCTCCTGCCAGAACAACAGATGCAAAGCCTGTAGATATATCTCCACTACTACAATGATCACCACCCTCCACAATAAAGCGTTCAAGATCCAGGGGTCCTACACATGCCTATCAAAACATGTGGTGTACCGCCTCCGGTGCACTAAAGGCCCCAATAACCAGACAATCATTACACTCTCAAATGAACACATACAAAAAATGATAAAAAGACAAAAACACCATTTGACCCATAGGTGACTATGTTTCACAAAGTGATCACTCCATATCTGACCTCTCAGTCCTCATCCTCAAAGGAACCCTGCATGTAGGATAGGTATAAAATTAAAGAATTAAAATTAGCTTATTGGTTAAGGAAATATATATGTGTTGTAAAGAAAGGTCCTGAGTAGCAAGTAGAAGGCCTCGAAAATACTAAGTGATAAGGCCAAAAGGAATGAAGTAGGGAGGATATCTGGTTCAAAGAATAACTAATGAAATAATAGGAAGTTTCTAAAAAGAAGGCCTCTGACCGATAGGGGTGACTGCAGATGGTTTAAAATCAAACAAAGAATCTGTCTTAAAATGAGCCAAGAGGGCCCTTTCCCCCCCCACATATCCGCATTATCTCCTGTGGGAACCCAGGTTCAATGAAAAAGCTGTTGGTCCTCAGAAAGGAGGGGAAGAGATAAGGAGGAATGGCTTTGGGAAGAAAAGAGATTGTAAATCTTATCTGGATTAAGACTGGAATTAAGGGTGAACTGTCTCAAACTGGTTTTTAGATGAAGCCAGTAATTGGCAATGACATCACTTGTTTGTTAAAGGGTATAAAAAGTCATTTTTTAACAGGTTAATTGCTAACACCTGCCAGCCCATGCTGGAGCCAACCAATATGGGTCTCAGCACCCCTGGGTTTAGCCTGTTTATAAATATCTTGATCAAATGCTTATAAATGTTTTGTTACTGTTTGTCTGTAGTAAATTGCTTATCAGTTAGATTTTTAAGAGCAACTGCATCAAGTACCGTTTGGCCTTTGGATTTAATAAAGGAATGTATGGTTAAATTACTGTTGGGTGGTTTCCCATTAATATTAATAATTTCAAATATTATTAATAATCCTAACACTCCACAACACCTTCAAAAGATGAGCCTGGGAATTTAAATTCATAACTCTGCTAGACACCAAAAATCATGGACTTAATAAAGACACTGGATTTATGGTTCATTACAACAATCTATAACCCAATAATCCTCCTTTGTTGTATGAGCTGTTAACGTCGCTTGGAATGGTCTCTTGAAACATGGGTTAACGCTTTATCTATTCCACCCTTGTATTTAGCTATGACACTCCAAGTACCTTTTCCAGACCTGAGGGAGAGCTCTGGGTAGCTTGACAGCTTGTTTTTTTCTACCAACAGAAGTTGGTCTAATGAAAGATACTAGCTCCCCCACCTTGTCTCGCTAATATCCTGGGCCCAACGTGGCTACAACAACACTGCCAACTACAACAAATCAGTTATTAGCGGACATGGATTTATTCGCATGATGTGGAGGAAAGAAAATCTATTTCTCATAAAAGTATCTCAGTGACTGTGGTGTTTGTTTTAAGTTGCTGCTATGTGATGACCACCTGTTAAGCAATTCTCCATGAAGTCTTTCAGGCACAAGCCATGAGATCGGTTTCAGATTTTCAAGTCACAAGCGCACGTTCTTGAGAGCCACTGGGAATAACAGGCTGAAGAAAAATCAGGTAAGTGGAACATGATCTGGTCAATTCAAACCAAGAAAAATTACACATGCCTTGGCTTAGACTTGAAAGTTTTGAAAATTGGCTGAGTCAGAGGAAAGTATTAGATCAGTGCAAAATCTCAGCGGATCAATAAATTATGTGTGCTGGAGGCCTCTCCCTCTTTGTACAGGAACAGGTGCAGAAAGCATCTTCTCAAGGTTACAAGTGAGCTCATGTAAAATTTTGCCTGAGTTACAAACCTCCTTTATTAATCCACTTCTCGGTCACGTGTGTGAATAATTTGTCAGCGGAGACGGTTTCCTTTCAGGAGAGGTGCCTGGTTTTTAGAACTATGCTGGCTGTTGTAGAGTGCACAGTTGTTTGCTACTATTAGTGCTATTTAACAGCAAAAGCATTTTACATTTCCAAAGCACTGTACACATATTACTTCTCACAGCACTCCTTTGATGCATAGTTATTACAAGCTCCATTTTATTGCTGCATTTTAAGCGTTAGGAGCTTAAATTTAGCCACGTCTTTTTTTTAATTACCACGCTATGAACTTATCACAATCTGACATCAGCTGTGATGTGACATACTCCAGCTCCTAACCCTCAGATACCACCACATTAGAATGGCCTTACATCTGCATGAAAGGGGTGGGGCGAAGGTTCATTGGCATTACTTCAAGGCTCACAAATTGTTGACACAAGGAAGGCATGATACACCTCTTTGAACCCGATTCAGGTCCAATAAACGCAAACAATTCAAAGCTGAAACTACTTTTTCTGTTGTGCCAGGAAAATGTTTTCCCTTATTGAGGTTGTCCCTGGAATAAATTAGGAGCTTCAATACATGGAAAGCTCTCCTTAGTAAAGAGAGGCTTCTGTATAGTAAAAACCTGAGAGAGACTGGAAAATTCAGGTCATGCAAGAAGGTTGTGAACATCTTGAGAGGCTAGTTTTGTTTTGATTAGCCAGTCACTATAGTGTAAATATGCGAGACAGACCGTAATGAATGTGGAATCACAAAAAAAAATGTCCTGCAGCCAGACAGCAAGCTGGTAGACATCTACATACACGGGTGTCTGAAGTGTTAGGCAACAGGTCAGCTGCTAGAAATGGCCAAGACACACGTGAGGGAAACTTAGCCATTCATAGATAATGTATTGTGTGGTGGCATCAGCTAGCCTCCTCTTGTGTATACAATGGCTCCTGCTGAGAGGAGAGCCCAGCTCATGCTCAGATATGGGGTCAGCAAACAAAATGAGAGACAGCGAGGCAGCACAGCTCTGAGCAGATATTTGTTGACCAGTGGCTTTTGGATCGTGGAGCTGACCCATTTCAGACCCATGTTTTCTGAGGTATGTGCTTGTGGCGGGAGGTGACCTACTTGTGAGGGAATGGCACACAGCCACCCCACAGATACAGATATCTTGCCTCTGCAGTGGTGCATGATGTGTGTGTGTGTGTGTGTGTGCGCGCGCGTGTGTGCGCGTGTACATGGTCTGTATCTGTATGGCATTACATGTGGGATGCACGCTACACCATTCTTCATGTATATGCAGATGCTGCCTTCGTAAAAGCAGCTCGGCCAGTCCTAGACAGTGTGATTGGCTGCACCACTTCAGTAGTGTCCTGAAGGGAGTGCACAGAGCTGTGTTGTGACCTGTCTCACACAGGGCTGTTACACTCCACCCAAGGACCATGGATACATTTTTCCTCCAAATGCCACATTTTCAGTCACCACATATGTGACTGTGAGGATGTGGAGAAACCCTTCCGCTGCCCAGAGCCTGCTAATGCAGCTTAGGGGCTAGACCAGTCTTTGGTCCCACCGCACTTGATGCACACACTTTCATGGTCACACTAGTGTGAAATGCTCACTGCTTTACTGCAACAAAGAGTATGCCATGAATAGATGTGG